AGTGGGGCCTCCCATCCTGGCCCAAAAGAGCACGAAACTCGACTGGGCGCCTGGACCCCCATCCAGTCTGAGATTCACAGGTCTGTGGGCTCTGGGTAGCCATCCTGCCTGGCCCCCAAAACAAGCTAATGCACCCCAGTTTTAGTACTTCCCAAACAAGCCTTTGGGTCTTGATCCCGTCCTGTGGTGCTGTGGCTCTGTCTGTCCTGGTCTCCACCCCACTGGCCTCTGATCGTCTTGAGATCCACCGAAAGACGTGACTTAGTGATCTGTATACTTAGCCCAGGCACAAGGCTCGGGACCAAGCCAGAGCTGGGAAGCCGTTGTTGAATTGGACTCAGTTGATGGTTTCCTGTCTGCAGAATGGGAACAAGGCACCTCTGCCTCCATCAGAGACCGTGAGGCAGAACCTCCATCAGCCCCAACTCCCCGCTGCTGCTGCCACTCTCCTTGCTGTTGTTATAGGGAGACAGAGGTCCCAGTTTTAGGATAGTGTGGCCGGGTTTTATCAGTGCTTCTCATCCTGCTGAAAACATTTTAGTAATCGAAAGCACGCCCAGGGAGCCCAGGGCTTTGTCAAGACCACAGGGCTGCTGAATGCAGAAGTGGCCTGGGTCAGGGCTCTGTCACCTGCCTAGGTCTGCAGCAAGTTCAGGCGACTCCAGGCCAGCAGCCCTCAGGCCCTGTGGGGGGGAGGACCAGGCCAGAACTTGCAGGTCCTGGCCTGGGATGGTGGCTCTGGGTTTGCGTGACACACTGAGCTCCTCTGCTGTCCTGCAAGCAGTGGGCACAGGAAGCCTCCATCTGGCGCTTCAGCCCCACCCTGCATTCTGCCACTGAGGCACAGAGAGCCGTGGGGCCCCATTCACAGCCAGGCCCGTGGGTGTGCAGCCACGGAGCGGGGGAGGGGAGGCAGGGAAGGGCAGGCACTTGGAGGAGGGGCTGCCCTAGAGCCCACCTGAGCCTGGCTCTGTCCACCTACCTGCTGTGCGTGGCCCCAGCCAGTAACCCACACGCTCAGAGCCTCGGCTCCCTTGTCTGTGGAAGCAGCCGCTGGGTACCCACCTTTGGGGTTAGTGAGTGAACCTGGCAGGGGTCCTGCCCAGTCTGGGGGAGGGGGTGGGAGTGATGGGAGGAGGCAGAGGAGGAGGTAGAGGAATGACGGGACGAGGAGGGTCTGCAGACCCCCAGCAGGCCGCCTCCCTGGCTGGTGGCTCCTTGGCACCAAGGCCTGTCCCTGCTCAGAGGCCCAGGGAATCTGCAGGTTCTGGCCTGGCCTGGGGGAGCATGGGCCCTTCCGGAGGTCACCATCACTGTGGCCCATGGGGAGCCATTCTTGGAGTGATGTCCTCCCCAGTCCCATAGACAGCCCCTTCCCCGGGTGTTCAGACAGGAAGGTGTCCCTGCTGGGTACCCAGAGTGTCAGGGCTGACCCCCAGGAGGGGTGATCAGGGACCCCCTACCCCCTTCTCACAATCCCAGGCCAACCCGGGTCATGGGGTGGCTGCCACTCCTCCTTCCTGCCCTGGTGACAGCCCAGTGTGGTGGGGAACCGAGGCTCCGAGAGGTGACACAATGGTCAAGTGAATGGCTGTCCGGGGGAGCCCCGTCCCCTGCACTTCACACAGGTCACCAGGGCAGGCCTCGCCAGCCCTCCAGACAGGGGTTGCTCTTGCGCTACTTTATTAGCGGGGAAATAAGGCACAGAGAAGATGATCCAGTCCCAGCTTCTGTGGCTACGGTGCCCCGGGTTGAACCTGTTCATCTGCCTCCCGGCCCAGCCCCGATGACCTTCCCCTGTGTGCACCTTCCTCCTGTAGCCTCTGGACGTCTAGCTCCTGACCCTGGGCATGGTCTTTGCCGGATGAGCCCACAAGGTCGGGGTGAGGGGCACACCTGGCCTGATTCTCAGCGTGGGCTCCCTGCCCCCTCGTTTGCCCATGAATCTCTTGTCCACTTCCATGGGGATCCGCCTGGCCTGCTGCCTGAGCCCATTTCAACCTAGGACTTGCACTGACCACTTGTCACCTCCTCCTGGGTGAAGAACGTCACCTTGCTTCCTATCTGCTGCCCTGGTTGGCTGGGGAGGGGGTGGCGGGAGTGGGTGAGGTTAACCTCATTGTTGTCTTATATGGTCATTTAAATCTCCCAGGGCTTCCTCCAAGGGCCAAAAATAATCCAGAGACACAGCAGCTGTGTCCAGCACACAGAGAGGACCCGGCCATCTGCTTTGGTTCAGAGCCCTGTGTCTGTCTGTCACTCAGCCTCTCCCTCCGTCCCGTCCTGCCTCCAGCCATGACCCGCTTCTCCTATGCAGAATACTTTTCGCTCTTTCATTCCTGCTCTGCTCCCTCCAGGTCCTCAGCGCTGCCCGAGAACCCCCCGGCCCGGCCCCCCATGGGCTTGTTCCAAGGGGTCATGCAGAAATACAACAGCCTCAAGACCTCCCAGCTGGAGTAAGTGCCCCCGCCCGGCCCCAGACCAGTGCCACACGCACACCCCCAGCCGGGGGGTCAGGGAAGGTGGGGAGGGGAGCAGGTTTGAAGCCCCCAGGAAGACACGGCACCACGGGGCACCTCGCAGGCAAACCCACCCAGGTGTGGCCCCCAGCTGCTCCTTCTGAGCTGGGCTTGGTGGCCGCAGGCTGCTGTCCTGCAGGAACTGGACCCCTGACTGTGCTTGGGCTGGATCCTTTGGAGACGCCCCCAGAATGAGGTGTGTGTGCTGGAGGGGCCGGCAGGGCTCTGAATCTGGGGCCCCAGCAAGAAGGGGCTGGGGAGATGGCCTCAGAGCCCCAGAGGAGCAGGGAGGGGGAGCCCAGGAGCCAGCTGCACCTTCTGTTTCTCACCCTGTCTCACCTTCCGCCGCCACCTCTGGGGTCCTCTGAGCACATCCAAAGCACCCAGACCTGCAGCCTCCGTTGTGCCTGGCTCCGTCTGTCTTCCTCCGAGTGCCAGGTGCTCAACCCCAGAAATCGTTGGAGCCACGGGAGGAGAGAGAGAGCTTGTCTCCTTCCCCCTGCTCCCCCCTGGTAGAAGCCGCTCAAAGCAAAAGAGGGGCGCCGGCCCTGGTACCCGCACTTCTGTGCTCAGTGGTGTTGCCAGGAGGGGAAGAGGCAGCCGGCGCCTCCCGCTCTCCTTCCCAGCCTCTCCAGACCTGGCGCCCGCTGCTCCCCGGTGCCCTGGGAGGGTTTGGCACTCTGGGGAGGAGAAGCCCAGCTCCGTTCTCCAGCAGATTGCTACTTCCTGCGTGACTGCCAGAGAGGGGCTGTCCCTCCGAGGCTCCCTCTCTGGAGGACTGGGTTGGAGAAGTCAAAGTGACGAGGTCAAGGTGACCTCTAGGGTCCTGTCCAGCTTGCTAGTCTCTGGTGACCCGACACCCCAGCAGCTGCCCCACTCGGGCAGGGACCTTGTCTGAGCTCACCGAGGAGCCGTCCATGTCTGGCACTGAGGGCTCCGAGGTCCTTGACTGCACGTAGAGAGACACGGGAGACCCGGGCTGCGCCCCCTCACCCAGGCCATGAGACCAGCCGGCCCCCTCCCCGTCCCTTTGGATTCAGCAGAGCCACATACCCAACTGGGACTTTTCCTGAGGTCAAAGGGGGGCCGCTCTGTCCTGGCCTAAGTGGACTCATCAGGTGGCAGTGACAGTGCTGATGGGGACTCCAGGACTTATCTGGTCAGTTTCCCACCGTCCTTGCTGGGTCTCTAGCTCAGCCGGTGCCCTCGAGCTATTAATAACGCAGAGGCTGAGAGTCAGGAGGAAGTGCAGCTCACACGGCAGGAAGCTCCGGGAGGGGGCAGAGCTGGTGCTGGAGACCCTCAGGGCCCCTCCGAAGCAGAAGGCACCTAGGCACAAGGCTGGCCTCCGGCCTCACCTGCTCCATCTGGGGAATGGGGCTATGTATGCAGAACCCTCCCCAGAAGAGGATCTGGGGGTCTCAGCCATGGTGGTCCTCACTCAGGGAATGAATGAATGAGTGAACGGGGTCCTGAGAAAGCCAAGCAGAGGTGCTCTTCCGTTACCCCTGGAGTCTCTGTGGTCCTCAGTTTTGCCTCGTGAGGACTTCCAGTTTGCTGATCCTGGGGGTATCGAGGTTCTCAGTGACTAGATGTGCGTGCGGGTCGGGGTGGATATCCCGGGCCGGCGCTCTGCTGCGTCCTCTTGGTAGAAGGCCCTTGGTGTAAACTAGCGTCAGCCGTAGAATGCACAGGGGTGAGAGGTCCCCTGAGTCCCCTGTCCCAGAACCAGCTGGGACCCAGGACTGAGGGACTCCTCACTGGGCCCTGCCTCTGGCCGCCCCTGAGGCCTGGCTGCTTCCTGCTCTCTCAGGGCCGTGGACCCCGTGCTGAAGGCCATCAAGGAGGGTGACAAGGAGGGCCTGGAGGCCATGATCAAGGACGGGAAGAACCTGGCGGAGCCCAACGGGGAGGGCTGGCTGCCCCTGCACGAGGCCGCCTACTACGGCCAGCTGGGCTGCCTGCAGGTCCTGCAGCGAGGTGAGGGGCGGGGCAGGGGCAGGCTGAAGTCCCCAAGTCACCCTCCCTCTCCCCCGTTGCCCTCCCACCAGGGCTCCCAAGACCCGGGAGCCTGATTCCTAGAAAAGGAATGAGGGAGGGCTGACTTTGGGGCGGACCGCTGCCAGCTTGTTCCAGAATGTTCCAGGGGCTGATTTGGTATAAAACCCCACAGCTGTGCCTCTGCTCTGCCAAGGCTGCCTCTCACCAGCTGTGCGACCCTCGGCCACTCTCGCCTCCTCTCTGAGCCCCATCTTCCTCCGAGCCAGACTCACAGGGGGTGACACCTGCAGGCAGGAGTCACCTCTGCCCTCAAGCAGCTCAGACCCCTGAAAGCCCACCACACTCAGAAACGCTGCAGGGGAAGCGGGTCTTCAGCAATGGCCGGTGGGAGTGCACAGGCAGGACAGGCCCACTGCTGGGGGTGAGGGGGCCGTTCAACCAGGGAAGGCTTCCAGGGGGAGGTGGCGTCTGAGCTGCATCTGCATACCAGGAAGCAGGAGCAGCCCTGAGATGGGCGAGGCAGAGGTCTTCTGGGGTCCGCAAATTTCAGAGGAGGCCATGCAGCTGGGCCTTGGAATGGGGAGGAAACGGGGATGGTTCCCTCTCATGAGCTCCTGGTCTGCCCTCCCCAGCGTACCCGGGGGTCCTGGACCAGCGCACCCTGCAGGAGGAAACGGCCCTGTACCTGGCCACATGCAGGTCACACTTGGACTGCGTCCTCTCGCTGCTCCAGGCCGGGGCCGAGCCTGACATTTCCAACAAGTCCCGAGAGACTCCGCTCTACAAAGGTGAGCCCCGGAGCAGGGTGGGCAACGGACCAGCCTGTTCCCCCAGGGCGCGGCCCCTCCGTGGCCACTCTGACGGGGCAGGCCTCTCTGGGCTGCATCGTTTATGCCATTCGAGGCTCAGAGTTGAGAAGACATGGGCCATGCCTGTGCGCTGGCCCAGGTAGGGCTACAACCCAGCAGGGGCAATGAAGACCC